CAGAGGACGTCTGGCCTAGCCGCTGCCATTTCGCCTCCTCCCTGGGGAAAGGCTGCTGTCTTGTTCCCAGTTACCTAATTGGAGAGCACCAGCTCTGTGCTGCTAAATCCCCAAAGCCCCATTGCATCAGGCAGCTCTTCCCATGCAACTGCAAATCTTCCAAGTCCTTCTGCGCTAGCTGCAGTCAGGAATTCAAGTAAAAGACTGTTCCCCAACTGTTTATTTCATAAAAGATTTATTTTAAAATTAGAAATGCATAACATTTTTTGGAAGAGGCCCAATTTTTGGGTTTGTCTGTGAGCCAGCTCCCGGGCAGCATTTGGGTGATGTCTAAAATCACAGTCCCCGAAGCTCTGGCCCTGGAGCTGGAATGGTCCCAAGTGCTGGCAGCTCATTTCAGCATAGGGCCCGAGTGGAGCACTGGGAGCTTTGGGAAGTGTCCCTGCACCCATCCCTCAGGCAGTTTGTTCCTAGAGAGCAAATGATTCTGATTGCTCTGACCTGTTTTCCCATAACTGACTGCACAGAGGAGAATAAAACCTGGGCAAAGGTCAGTGGTGCTGTGTACCCCATGCTCAGTGGTGTGGAGCACTTATCTCTAAGTTGTCCCCAGTTCCCCCGTTGTACGTGACACTCCCCAGAAGCTGAACGGATGCTGGCCCAGCCAAAGCCTGCAAGGTCGGACCAGCAGAAGGATGTACGAGAGACTCAACAGTTCATAGCACCAACTCTCAGCCTGCTGTAGAAATCATCGCTGAATAAAAGGAATTTTCAAAACCGTTAATGGCGCCATGCGCTCCCCTGGAGGTAGGACTGAAATTTTTCATAGCTGGTAAAACAAGCGAGAGGTCTTTTTGTTGTTGTTGTTTTCCTGGTTTGCTGCAGGCAAATCCTTTGGACCTTAGGGGAAAATGGAGAAGGGTGTGGTAGGGAGAACCTGGCTCTTGGTAGCTCAAGTGTTGCCGTCTCCCACGTTACACCCCTCCATGCTTGTTGATGGTGAAGCTGGTCCCTACCAGCACCTACTCACAGTGAAAGGAAACTGGAAAGAAATTGGCTCTAAAATGTCCTTGAAAAGAAAACTTTGCAGCAATGTTGAAGGTGTTCACAGGCCAGTGTTGCAGGAGTCAGCACCAGCACTGTCACGTTGTACCAAGGAGCTGAGGCACAGTCATGCTTAAAAAAGTTTTAAAAAAACATTAAAATGCTGTAGGAAAGAAATATTCTTCTGTGGGCTCAGAATCTTGATATGTTGGATATCAGTAGCTGCCAGGAGAGGGGAGAGCTGCAGGTGGGTGCTGCTGACAGGGCAAGAAACCTCCCTGACACTGCAAGCCCTGTTGGCATCTTCCCCTTGTTGTCACAGATGTCTTGGGTGGTGTGCTGGGCTGGTTGTATCCCCCCGCACCCGGCCAAGGGTAAATCAGTAAAGTGCTTTAAATCATATCGCTTGCATTTGGTCCCACAGCCGCATCCTGCAGCGGCTTCCTTGGGGCTGGAGAGACAAGTTCAGGAGGAGACCACTTGTGCTGCCGAGAGGGAACATGCAGCTCCCACCGCTCATCCTGCCAGCCCTGGGCTCTGCCGCTTTACCACTCCGTATACGTCCCCTACGGATCTGAGCAAGGCCCTCACCAGTGACTAGATGAAAAAACTGATGCGAGAGGCCACTGTTTTACAGCCTGTTGATGAGAATATTTTCTCTTCTTCTGGGAAGTAGGGGATGCTGTCAGCCACCTCCTGGACAACATCTGGACGAACTTCGAGGCCTTGCTGGATAAGTTCGCTGATGACACACTGCTTTACATGGTGGCGCTTCAGTGGGAGGAAGGGCACGACAAAATCAATGAGATGTTCATTAATGATCCCAGATTTCCAGAATCCACCTGCAAAAGCAAAGGAAGAGACATGTTTTACCTTCAGAGAGTCTCTGCAATCCCTGGAGTTCAAAGAGTTGCTTTGTGCGAAACCAAAATACTTTGCTGAAGACAGATCTGCTCCAGTTCTGTACAAGGAGGGAGCTGAACCTATCAGTCGTCACCCCCTTCCCTCTCCAGTAGACCTGTTCTCCAGGAAAGGGGGGATTTAGCTTGACTACTCAGAATTTAAGCTCTGCTCCCTGTGACAAGGCCAAAGCAAGGAGAACCAGGCAGGCAGTGGCGATCAGTATGTCTCGGTGCCTTTCCGGTGAGCATGCTGTGCTGTTTGCCATCCCCGACCAGTGAACACACCTTGTCTCCAAATAAATTTGCTAAATGTGGCAACAGGTCTGCCGTCTTGGAAGGCCGGGCTATTACTTCCCTTTGCCACGAAACCTTGAGGGCATCACGGTTCCCTTCCCTCAAACCCCCCTCGGTCCCTTTCTGGCTGCCTGGGAGGTGGCAGGTGGTGTCAGTGGCTGCCTGGAATGGGCCTGGCTCCCTCTGCCGGGCTCTGACCCTGCAGGAAGGGCTCTGCTCCACGGACTCACTCTGAGGGTTTTCAAACACGGCTTTGGAGATGGCCGGTGCCAGGTCCTGCAGGCTGATCTCCTCCCGGTCCTTGCGGGCACGCCAGAGATCCAGCGTCATTTTGTTGATCTGCTCCCCTCCTGCGTTGCTGCAGAAGAATGAGATGCTTATTTGGCGTGTATCTGGGAAAATGGTGTTGCAGGACAGAGGTGGCACCTGACACCCTCCAGCCTGCACAAGTGCAAGCCAGGATCTCCCAGGGACAGGAGATCTTTTTCAGACTTTCCAGGTCTGTCTATTCACAATGAAACAGTGTCTTTTCATATTTGTAGAGGCTCAAGGCTTGGAGAAGGAAAAGCAGAACAAGTGTGTACTCTGAAGTAGGTATGACCTCTGCCCAAACGAGAAGCAGTGCTCTGGAAGGCCCTGTGATGCCACAGAGGCGCCTCTCTTACCTTATGAAGATGAATATTGCTTTGCGGTAGTTAGTCCCGTACACAACCCACGAGGGTCCCAGGAATGGTATGATCACGTCAATCAGGCCCGGGTGCATCTTGTCCATCTCATCAAAGAGAAAAGCTGACCGTCCACAGTTTGTCAAGTTCCCTTGGATCCAGCGCTTCAGGCTTTCCTAGGAGAAATGCCCACCAAGCTGTAAGGCAGCAAGATACCAAGGGAGCTACTCCAGAGCAAAGACTGAGGCCTGAGCTCAAGTGGAGTTGAAGGTGCTGAGATCAGCTTGTCCTTGCACAGCACCACCTACTCGGAGCAGGAACAGCCAGCACCGGGGAGGCCTCCTTTATTCTGGGTTTTGCACAGTAGCTGTTACCAGCTTTATTAGCCCATTGTAGATCTTTTATTACAGATTTTAAAAAGGAGGCAGCAAACTAAAGCTGGGGATTCAGACTCCTACAGTTCCCCACGTTCTTCTCTTTCACTGTTTATCTACACAGTTGTCAGCTACTGAGTGCTTTTTTGCCAGCTCCTGTCCTGGTGCAAAATCATGTGCCTGCGCTGACCCAGAAGAGCTCTCGCTCTTTACCACAGCTGAAGTTACACAAAACTACTCATGTTGCCTGAGGGCAAGTATAACTTAACTGAAACACTTCAGGCAGTATGGGTGTTACCTTCCTGAGAGTATTTCTTCTAAGGACACAATACAACAAATAACTTCTCCAAACACCCAGAAAGCAAGTGTCCAGGTGTACTGATTCCCCACTCTGCTAAGGGTCTGGCAGCTAACCTTCACATTTTGATTTCTTCCCTTTCTCAGCTTTTAGAGACAGAGTGGCACGGTTAAGAGTAGAGCTGCTAGCTCTGAGGAGGGGATTACAAGTCTAGCGATACGCAGGTTTTCATAGCCATCAAGCTGTTTGGAAAGCAATGGGAAAATTTTAGTGCCTTTCATCTAAGCAAATCACTTTTGTTTGTGCATTCAAAGGGCTGTGTAAATATTTAAGGAATGAGAACATGAACACAGAAGGACTGCTGTGAGGAAAACGAAAGTGGTAACTGAGTGCCAGAGTACATCACGGTTACTAGTGGATCCTTCAGCCAGTGTGTGGAGCCACTCACTTGGCCGTGTTTGTCTGAGAGGGTAAAACAAAGAGCTTTTATTCCTACTGCACTTCAGGAAACAGCCTGAATGCATATGTACTGAGGATCAAGATGAATGTAACCAAAAAAGGCCCCCAATCAAGTAGTACTGTGCTGAGAGGTGTCCCTTACCTTGTACTGCTCTATCTGCTCAGCATGGGGGAAGTGCACTATTGGAGAGAACTGGTGAACATAGGGGCTCTGGAGTCCACCCTGGAAGAGGTAGCGGACAAGCATGGAGCTCACGTAGGTTTTGCCTGTTCCAGTTGAGCCATGGAAGGACATCACGAGGGGTTTCACCGGATTCTGGTTCTCCAGGAACTCCTTCACTCCCTTCATCACCTGCTGCCTCACCAGGGGCTGCCCTACCACGTTGGTGGCCAAGTCACACTCCAGACCTGAAGCAAAGTCAAAACAAGACTTTTAGAAAATGCAGGTTGAAATAGCTCTTGTCTCGCACTGTGGCTGTCCCATCTCTAAGGGCCACTTTTCCCCAGGCCCTCTCTCTCTCGGCCAGCCCAGGCTGCAGAACGGCCCTGCCGCCCACTCGTGCCCCTCCGCGGGGTGGGGAAGCCAAGAGC